AGAGAGGGAGATGGAGTGAGAGAGGGACAGGGTCGGAGAGAGATGGAGGGAGAGGGAGGAGGATGAGGAGAGAGAGGTGAACTTCAACATGCCAGAGAATGCGTTAGGCTTGCAGGGCACCTATGCAGTCAGAAGACAGCTCTGCACAATGAATATCGCAATAAATCCAAAGAGGAGCAAGAGCCCTCAGCAGCCTGCTGTGCTCAGGGGGCGAGATATGTGATGGATGGGGGCTGGGGCAAGACCAGGAACTAAGGCAAGGAACTGGGGCTGGGGCGAGGCCAGGAACTAAGGCAAGGAACTGGGGCAAGACCAGGAACTAAGGCAAGGAACTGGGGCTGGGGCAAGACCAGGAATTAAGGCAAGGAACTAGGGCTGGGGCGAGGCCAGGAACTAAGGCAAGGAACTGGGGCTGGGGCGAGGCCAGGAGCTGTGCCAGGGATTGGGACTGGAGTGAGATGAGGTGAGGGGCTGAGGCAAGGATCAGGGCTGAGGGGAGGGCAGAGGCAGGGATCAGGGCTGAGGGGAGGGCATGGGCTGAGGCAGCAATTGGGGCTAAGAGGAGGACAGGGGCTGAGGCAGTGATCGGGGATGAGGGGAGGGCAGGGGCTGAGGCAGCGATCGGGGCTGAGGGGAGGACAGCGGCTGAGGCAGTGATCAGAACTGAAAGGAGGGCAGGGGCTGAGGCAGCGATCAGGGCTGAGGGGAGGGCAGGGGCTGAGGCAGCGATCAGGGCTGAGGGGAGGACAGCGGCTGAGGCAGTGATCAGAACTGAAAGGAGGGCAGGGGCTGAGGCAAGGATCAGAGCTGAGGGGAGGGCATGGGCTGAGGCAGGGATCAGGGCTGAGGGGAGGGCAGCGGCTGAGGCATTGATCAGAGCTGAGGGGAGGGCAGGGGCTGAGGCAGCGATCAGGGCTGAGGGGAGGGCATGGGCTGAGGCAGGGATCAGGGCTGAGGCAGGGATCAGGGCTNAGGGGCTGAGGCAGCGATCAGGGCTGAGGGGAGGGCAGGGGCTGAGGCAGTGATGAGAACTGAATGGAGGGCAGGGGCTGAGGCAAGGATCAGAGCTGAGGGGAGGGCAGCGACTGAGGCAATGATCAGAGCTGAGGGGAGGGCAGGGGCTGAGGCAGTGATCAGAACTGAAAGGAGGGCATGGGCTGAGGCAGGGATCAGGGCTGAGGGGAGGGCATGGGCTGAGGCAGGGATCAGGGCTGAGGGGAGGGCAGGGGCTGAGGCAGTGATCAGAGCTGAGGGGAGGGCAGGGGCTGAGGCAGCGATCAGGGCTGAGGGGAGGGCATGGGCTGAGGCAGGGATCAGGGCTGAGGGGAGGGCAGGGGCTGAGGCAGCGATCAGGGCTGAGGGGAGGGCAGGGGCTGAGGCAGGGATCAGGGCTGAGGGGAGGGCAGGGGCTGAGGCAGCGATCAGGGCTGAGGGGAGGGCAGGGGCTGAGGCAGCGATCGGGGCTGAGTTTAGCACCCAGTTGAGGTACAGAAGGGTGAACCAACAGTCAGCCCCTGAGGATAATGGGTGTTCACATCAATCTCCCAGGGTGCACTGCAATGTCTGTTAGAGGATTGCAAGCTCCGCCTGACCTAAAGCTGCCCACACTGAGGGGTAATTAGCTTGCATTTGGCCCCCAGCCCCATGGCTACCCTGCCCCTCCTTCTTGGCGGTGTACCCCCATGATATGCAGGCACAGAGACTTTTGGAGATCTCATCTCCGTCTCCAGCAGGTTATCATCTGCGATTGTTTTTCCGTCTCTGATTTGTTTAATTGGGAAGTGAGGCAAGGCCGTGGGTGCGAGGCGGGGGCCGGCAGGGGCCGGTCTGCACAGGACGGCAGGCTGGAGCGTTAACCCCGCACACCGAGTGGCTGTTGGTACATATGCGGGCCGCAGGCGTCAGCTGGTGCGTGGGCACAGGCCTCGGGTCGGAGCTGTGAAGCGGATCCAGGCCGGGAGGGGGGGAGATGAGCCAGGACGCCCATAGCAGACCTCTGCTTGCTGAACCGCGGTATTTAAATGATCGCCACGAGCCGCTGGCCGATGGCCACGGTCACCGTGTGGCCTGGAGTCTTCGCATGATCGCTCCTGGGGTTTCGCGGTGCTCAGTGATCAGAGCGTGACGCCATCGAGTGTGATGTCCGGGGGCATGTTCAAAGCGAGAGCCGTGCCGATCCTCCACGATTCCCTACAGCATCTCCTGCAGGAGCAGTGACATCCATAGGGAATCTTCCCCCCGACCTGTGCAGGCTCCCCTTCAGTGGATTTGGCTGGGGTGGGGCATCCTATTCCAGTCTCCAGGGTGACAGATTTGCCCCCAAAGCAGGATCCGGTTAAAGGAGCTGATGTCAGCAGGAATATCTGACAGCTGCACCTTAAGTGTGATCTTCTCTTAACGAGATCTATTAAATGACATTACTGATATTTTCACCTCTGAAACATGCAGAGATATTATCCATGAAAATTGCAAGCTTTGCATTTTTTGACGTGATGCACAGTGGCTGTAATTCCGGGGGCCGCTTCGCCAGTATATAATGTTAGATACTATCCAATGTCAGTTACATCATATGCAAATGACGTTTCCTACAATGTTTTACTTTGCTGTTGGGTGAATTAGAGTTATACCACCGTAAAGTATGAATATATCGTATTGTTGAAGTGGTGGTTAGTCCGTGGAGGGGGGCTATTTGTGTCTGGTGCCACCCCCACCCTGGGGAGTTCCCCTTAAACCAAAATTGAAAACCCCGAGCTTTCTCAGTTCCTGTGTGTCCCTTGTGACCGGGGGGGGTTAATGATGTCACCATGGTGCGTTTCCCTGGCTGCTGGCTCCGCAGTTCCAACCCCATGTGACTGTGCTGCCTTGCTTTACCCACAATGCACCAGCAGAGTACTATAGGCCGCCCAGAGGTTCCGTTGGTGGGCGTGTCTCTGTCAGCAGCATATGAAGGTTTGTGTGTTAGACTTTCAGCGTGCTGCTCTCTTATTTAATTCCAATTAAAAGTGCTTTTCACACGCACACATGTACGTGGCGTTGCCAAAGCAACATCTTTAATGCTACACTGACAACAGCATTACTAACCTGCATTTAAATGCAAAATGATCATGATTATTAATTCCACTATTTCTTCTACTGCTGCTACCCAGCATAATTATAATATATTTTTAGGAGATTAAAAATGTATGCAAAGAAATTTCAAGTATCATTAAAATACATAATACATTAAGTTGTTTTTCATCTGGCCGCTTATCAGTAGTTTGAAAACCAAACTTTTAATCATGGTCACACTGGAGGCCAGTGAGCCTTTAACTCCGCCCTGTTGATATCCGTGGGACCTTCTTCAAAGCTGCCCCCAGTGTTGCCAGTTTGGACAGCCTTTTTACTTCTGGGACAGTCATGCTCCTATCACGCCATCCTTGTTGACTGTGTTGCAGATCACCTGCATATTTGTGCGGTGTATGTGCTTTTCATGTGTTATTACATCCCTGTAAACAAACAGCGTGACCGACACGGCATATCTGCAGATGGTCAATAGCCCTGGATTAGAGTTTCTGTGTGATTTGTGGTCAGGCAGCTGCCTGGCCAGCTATGGAACTTCAGGACCCTCCTGCATGCCCCTCCCTGCCGTGCTCCTCTGTGCGTTTCTGCTCTAGGGTCAGTCACACAGGAAGACAGGAAGCCAGGTCCTGGTGCTGCTGGCACAAACAGTTGATTTTTTTTTTTATTTTTATGCCCCCCTAGTACTTGCTGTGCTGCCAGCTGGCACGATCAGGTCGGAGATCACCCCCACCCCCACTCCTGATTGTCTGTTCCCCAAAGACATTTTTGTCGCCCATACCTATCCACGCTCAGTAACCTGACACCCCCCCACCACCAAGAATCCCATGATGCAATAGACGAATCGAACAGTGCTGCTGATTGGACCCTATATAACCCCCAGTCAGGCCTGCTGGCCTTTCGTTAGGGATCGTCTGTGCGCTGCTCTGGCATTCGACGAAGCCGACTGGTCGTGATTTACGGACTGGCACGTTCGTCCTGTGAGCCCCATTTTAATGAACAGCAAATGCTGATCAGCAGGTGGAGATAAATCAGGGCCAAAGGGGCTTCCTTGCTGGGGGGGTAATTAACAGCCACTGCCTGATTTGCGATGGAAGAGTGCATCCTGGACACGTTTGTGCGGGGGACACTCTGTGGGGATGTGTAATCTGCCATATGTGCACCCCCACCCTGCTACACACATGAACTCGCTGGCATGAGCCGATAAGCCCGTGGACAGAGGAAGAAGCATATAAGTAAACACACTCTGATGCTCGGAGTATATACACAGCATGCACACTGGCGCTGTGCTGATTGGCTGTGTTGGCCTCTGCCCCCCACACCCCGCAGCCAATCCCATGGAACTGTAGATCTTTCCAGAAGTTATCTGAGTTTATGTGAGTGAAAGGTCGGTCAGATCAATGAAATGGGAGGGAGGCTGGAAGTGTCTGTGTTTGCTTCCCGATTGGTCGCTTTTGCATGCCTATCGTGTTGCTTAATTAGGTCACAGGAGCATGCAAATGAGTCAGTGCGGGGAGTCACGCTGCCCGGCTGAGATCCCCGGGGCGTGGCTAACCACCTCCCACATTGTGTCCTCATGGCGTCTTCTCTTCTGTCTTTTCAGAAAATGACCTCTTGCCTAAGAGGACACTGATCTCTGATTGGCCCAAACTACTGGATTGAGTCTCCCAGTTTGGGAAGGAGGGGATCTCACGTTCCCCACAGTCACGTGACTCGTGATGGCACCTGCTTGGTGGAGCTGGGTCTGCGTGGCCCTCTGCTGCCTCGGCCGCACACTGGCGGCACCCCCGGACCCCTCCCATCTGCAGCAGCCGCCCACGACGCCAGCCGTGGACGAGGGCCATGGCACTTTCCGCTCCGAGAACCCTGAGTGGACCTTCAACCACCTGGCATTGGACACCCGCAATGGCAATGTCTACCTGGGGGCGGTGAACCGGATCTACAAGCTGTCGCCCACTCTGGAGTTGCAGGTATCCCACCAAACGGGGCCGGACGAGGACAACCGCAAATGCTACCCGCCTCGCATCGTGCAGCCATGCAGCGAGCCACTAGTGCTCACCAACAACGTCAACAAGATGCTGCTGATGGACTACCGGGAGAACCGGCTGCTGGCCTGCGGCAGTCTCTACCAGGGAATCTGCAAGCTGCTGCGTTTGGATGATCTCTTCAAGCTGGGCGAGCCCTCACACCGGAAGGAGCACTACCTGTCCGGCGCCAACGAGAGCGGCTCCGTCTTCGGGGTCATCGTGTCCTACGGCAATTCGTCACCGGACAAGCTCTTTGTGGCGACGGCCGTGGACGGCAAGCCCGAGTACTTCCCCACCATCTCCAGCCGCAAGCTGGCGCGGAACTCTGAGGAGGACGGCATGTTTGCCTACGTGTTTCACGATGAGTTTGTGGCCTCCATGATTAAGATCCCGTCAGACACCTTCACCGTGGTGCCAGACTTTGACATCTACTATGTTTACGGCTTCGCCAGCGGCAACTTTGTGTACTTCCTGACGCTGCAGCCGGAAATGGGGGGGCCTGCAGCGGGCTCCTCTGCCACCCGTGAGCAGGTCTACACCTCCAAACTGGTCCGGCTCTGCAAGGACGACACAGCCTTCAACTCCTACGTGGAGGTACCACTGGGCTGTGTAAAGGCCGGCGTGGAGTACCGGCTGCTTCAGGCCGCCTACCTGTCCCGGGCCGGCTCCATCTTGGCCCGCTCGCTCAGCGTGGCCCCTGGCGACGACGTGCTCTACGCCGTCTTCTCCAAGGGTCAGAAGCGGCGACCCCGCGAGGAGACTCAGGAGTCGGCGCTGTGCGTCTTCTCGCTGCGGGACATCAACGAGCGCATCAAGGAGCGCCTGCAGTCGTGCTACAGAGGGGAGGGCACGCTGGACCTGGCCTGGCTAAAGGTCAAGGACATCCCCTGCAGCAGCGCGGTGAGTGCCCCCCCCTACCTTGTTATTATTATTATTGCCATCATCATGAAATAAAGACACACCCTTACATGTCTATGTACAGCCTTTGCAGGCAAGCATGTTCCTGTTCCTGTTCCTGTTCCTGTTTTGTATGACATGTCCCTTAATAAAACGCATACAATATACAATTCAAACTCCATGCACCTTGCCACTTAATAGAAAACACTGGTTTTAATGAATGTGGTGATGTCATACAATGAAGACTGTGATTGGTTATAGAAGTGACATGCAAGCCCCTCCCTTGCTGACCCAGGGACACGTTGAACTCGGAACTCGGTGCCCATGTTCATGGTCGTGGATAGGGAGGATGAGACGGCAGTTACCGTATGCCGGAAGGAATCGTAACCCGTACGATTTTTATCACGTATACCCAGCTGAACGTCAGTGTGCTGGATGGGGCAGTACTACGCTTCATTTATCCGTTACTTTTGGAGACGTCTAATCGCATTTAGTGGGTTTTATAGCAGTTAATCTGTAGCGAGACGCCTGCTGTCACATAGATGGATCACGTACAAAAAATTCATTATGCCAAGATGAATTATCAGTAGTGGGATTCGTTTGGTTTACACGTCGGTTTACAAATCAAAATATTCTATTTAGTTGCAAAGCCCCGTTGTGAAGGAAGGAGAATGTAACGGGTGAAAGCAGCCTTTCAGAATCAAATAACACGTTTTCATTAGTTTCTCTATTATTGCTGATGAGAAGCAGGGAAAGCTTGGAAAATAAGAAATTGTCTTTGCTGGAGAGTCGATCCTTTATTGTAATGAAGTTTGATTCAGCGGCAGTCACGGCGGGATTAATGGCTACAGTTTGGCAGAGGGAGAGAGCGGACTGACAGCGAGGCCGGTCGTCACGCCCGCTGGCCTCAGCACGCGCTAGCTAATGAGCAGACATTTGCACGCTCACGCGCACATACATGTACACACTTCTGTAAAAATGCACACACCCATTTTCCAGAGTTGAGTTCCCAACGTTGAGGGAGCATGAGCTCTGTTGCTCGGTTACGCCTTAATAGGGGTGGGAGCCTGAGGTGGGTGGGGGGAGGATTGGGGTGGGGGGGCGGGCAGTGCTGGCAGGGCACTGGGGAGTGGTGTTTTGAGTCAATGCGGCGGTATGGGTGCCACCCCATACATGAGACTGTAACCATGGCGACGGCGTAACAGCAAGCAGCCCAGTCACGGGGCAGCAGAAGATATTGTTTATGAGGCAGTGATTAATGATGTTATTGTAGCAAAGAGGGGGCCACTCCACCACCCGCCCCCCCGTGACACAAACTCGCTCCGCTGTTACATACTCACACACAGGCATGACTCACTCGGGGGGGCGAGGCTAGGCTGCAGTGGTCTCCTTTGACCAGAGCGAGCGGCGAAGGGGAGACCTTCCGGTGAACCGTGTGCAGGCTGTGGACGGATCCCTCCGTCGAATCACACAGATCATTTTACAACAACCAGTACTTGTTAGTGTCACACGAGTTCCCAGCTTCAATAATACATGAGTTCGTATCGGCAGAGTGCACTCCATAAACCCCCCTCCCCCCATCGTCACGTTGAGCATGTCCATAGAACACCCCC